ATTTTAGATGTTATTGCAAGTCAAAGGAATATTAACGTCACAGCATTAGTCATATCATGAAAACACTAACAGAATTGTTATTTATCATGAAATCAGTTACATAAGTTCACTATAATAAATAATGAAGAAAAACACGGTGTAAAAGTCATTAGACACTTTAATAACTAATTACAGAATGTCAAATAAACAACACAAATATAGTATAACAACTTAACAATCTGAAGTGTTTTATCTCTATCGAGAATTAAACAAGCATAAAACAAACACTTGATAAAATATCAAAGTATTTCTTAAATGATAAAAATATTTTCTGACATTTTGATTAACAATTACTTAATCGGAATGCAAGAAAATATTTTTATTATTTCTTAAGACATGTTTTGATATTTTGTCAAGATTCTATTTAGATTCTTGTAATGTATTTTACATATATTTATCTTGTTTTAATCGAAAAATATAGATTATTGTATTCTTAAAAAAAAGGAAAAGCATCGACTTCGCGTTGAGTCATCGGCATTACAATGTACAAATTTGTAATGATGACTAAATACGAACGCCTATATTGCAAATGGGTGGAAGGGCGTGTCCAAATCGTTATGTTTCGTCGATAGAGCGATAACTTTCTACGTCTGTCATCGTTAAAAAGCATACGTTGTAAAGCACGTGTTGTATACGTTATCTACAATTATGCAATATGTTATGCTATATATATGTACGTATAATCAAGATAAATATATGTAAAATACATTACAAGAATCTAAATAGAATCTTGACAAAATATCAAAATATGTTTTAAGAAATAATAAAAATATTTTCTTGCATTCCGATTAACAATTACGAGCATTCTCGCATAATTAAGATAGAAACAAACATATATAATATATTTGACTCGGGTTCGCATTTCAATTTGTATCTTACAAATTATGCGTGGATGCTCGTCGTAATTGTTAATCAGAATGTCAGAAAATATTTTTAGCAGTTCTTAAGAAATACTTTGATATTTTATCAAGATTCTGTTTAGACTCTTGTAACGTATTTCACACGTATTTTATATCTTGATTACGTCTGCACATACCTTCGTGCGTAAAAGGATATTTTCGCGATGGCGCGATAAAATAATTTTCTGCATAAAAGATCGATGAGACGCAAATAGATTCTTGGATATTAAATTTAAAACGTATATATATAACACAATACAATTCGCAAATTAAATTTAACTCTTTTCCGCTTTATATACGTATGCATTGAAATACTTGATCTATAAAAATTGTGTTTATACATTTGCACACATTATTTTATATCGTACATTCTTAAAATATTTTTTCTTCAAGCATTTTTTTCTTAAGACATGTTTCCAAAAAGTCCTCAATTATCATCGAAATAGCTCTTTCCGACCTTCAATCGTATACATCCTTGGCCCTATTCTGTTAAATCACGAATGACGTTACGCTCGATACGCAGCGTAATGATAATGTCATTCTTTTTAGTTACGTAATGCAAATGTACAAAGCGTAATAAGTCATAAATTAGGTTCGAGTTTCTTTTCATGCTTCGTTTCACACTTGACCCTCATTGTCAGTCTCGAAGAAGAAACCATTAGACGGTATTGATAGATTAATAAAACGTTATTACTGTAACCTTATTTGGCATTACCTATCGTATTTATCCCCAAATAGAGATATCAATTATTATTCCATGTGTCGACTCGCCAATGGATTTTTTATACAGGCAGAGAGAGAAGGAGAGAGCGAGAACGATATAGGACGATTGATAACCGCATCGTAAAGTTTATAATATTTTCTGAAAATACCTGTTTGTTTACATCATTTCGCGATGAACATTACCGTATTAGGGACGTGTGCCCTTTGTCATTTTTATATACATATATAATACTTGCAAGATATAAATACTCTGCAACATATGGCGTAAAAGTCATTTATTTGTGATAGTAAAATCCCTATAAATTATAAAGATATAAATCTACACGCGCAATTATTAGCCCCATAATTTGCCACTTAATTTGCACGATTTAATTACAAATCTGTGTATTTTTTCTCGACAAGTTGCAATTCCATTCTTAGATAAGCATAATTTATACAGTCTCAATAAATCGTGATATACGATCGACTTATGAAGAAGAGATAAAAAATTCAGAATAAATTTTTCTTTGATTGATTGTGTAGTGTTTTTTAGAATACTCTTTGTTAATAAAACATTAATCATGCAATTATCTCGATACTAAAATATATGCTTACGTTATTGGTTTATACAAAACGTTGTTATTGATAACATTATTATTTGCTTTTATTGATAAACGATGATCTAGATATGGCAAAATACAAAAGTCGTATCGTATATATTTTTGAAGAACTTTTGGCGCAATTGTAATTAATTTTTGCAAGGATATCTCTAAATATCTCTATAGATCTCTCGATATCTATAAATGTCGATACCCACGTATATGTCAATATAATCACATTCTCATAATCGAAATAACTTTTTTTCTGGGAAATTATACTCTACCTACATATAATACATACTTTTCTTATATATATATATATGTATATTTATGTACCTCTGCAAAAATGCAAATGTTACACCAACGTCGACTCGGTTGAATAAAGATAAAATTTTATCATTCCCATAAAAAACTAGAAAGCAATAGATCTGTCATTTAAAGTCAGTATTGGAACCAAACTCGCGCAATAATTATAAACGAAACGTTATTATATGCACAATTGCATAAGATATAAGCTCGCAAATAATTTTTCTTTTTTTAAAGCGATTACAAGTATATATAGTATGCATTTGTAATAATTATTACAGATAATTTTATCATTAACATATGTATACGCTTTTGCAATTGCAAAATATATAATTCTACTATTGCATTTTACGCGGTGAATAATTCTAAATTTAGCTCGACGTTTTATGGAAAAAAGTACACATACGAAATGATGAGCGTCGGCATTTTTTCCAGGTCATAATTGTGTTTGAATTTTTCGGGGGGTGCAATTTGGCTTGCAAAACACGTGGTTGACGAGCTACATAAATAATAAAATCGATCGCGAAAACTATTACTTTAAGCGCTGTGTCAATTACGTGTATTACGTACATACATCGTTTGTGTGTTGAAAGCTGTGTCACAATTATCTCAACGACCGGCTATTGGCTCCGTGATTTCCAGGTAAATAACACGAGTAAATAAATTCACTGGCTGACGGGTTGTCCATAATTTTTCAACGATTTTACGTAAAACCGCGCCGTTAATGTATGCATTGACGACAGATGCATGTTTTACATATTTACCTTCTCAAAAACAAGAAAGATCATCGGGAAAAACGCGAATTAAGAGACGCACATTTTTTAAATCCTAATAATAATTACCTACATGACATATTAGTCCTGATAAAATCTTTTACTCAAGTCGAAAAATATATATATGTATATGTATACAAGAATGCTATTTCCCTCTTTTTTTTGTCTCGCAAACAACTAAGATTATCTGTATATATAACGAGGCTGTTATAATAATTATAGTCTATAAGTAGACCAAAGTAATTTTAAGTAATTGCCATGCAGGGCGCATGTCACTCGTAAAAAATTTAATGCTACTATATTTTTAAGCTTGTAGATTTTTAAACAATTATCGTGTTGTGTAACTTGATGTAAAAAAGATCACACATATTATGATATTATTTTATATTAAAATATCAACCATTTAAAATGCAGATAATATGAGATGCTTCTATCTTTAATTAATCAAGCATACTGAATAATAAATTAAAAAAGACAGACATCTGTAAATCAACGTCATGAAGAATTTGAAAAATAAAAGAATTTAAATAGAAAAAACAACAAAATAATTTTTTTAAATTAAGTATTATGTTAATAGAAACATTATTTACATAATTATTAAAATGGACAATGTTTTTAAATAAAAAGAAAAGTCACAAATAATGATTATTTAAACAAATCCATTTCCGAGCAGTCTCTTTTAAATGAAAAAAATATATCCATCAAAAGGAGAAAGAGCAATTGACATGAGATCTATAGAATCTCTCTATAGAAGTCTAATCAGAAGCGTTCGATGATCCGGTCAAAGATTATACATATAGAACGTATGTATATTGTAAAATTATTTAGATGTCGAATGCTATGTCTCGATGATTGGTTCGAACATTACAACATTATTGTCTGTCGTATGACATCTATACGACGGCTGTATATACAAACAACAAGTGCAATAAACTGCATGTCAACGCGAAGAGTTCACGAGACGATGCTTCATCCCGATTAATCGATCGCGTCGCGATGATACGATTTATTATTGAATATATACAGTGTTTGCTGTTATCTAAATAAAATTATATAGATGATTATCTAGATGAAATTTTGGCGTCATTTTATGTTTATATAGATAATATAAAGATATGTATTATTTATACCTGCATCTTAAATGAGAAAAAGTATTATCTTTAAATTATTTAGAATAATGTTCAGATAATTTTGTTTAGAATCATAGCACATAAAAATATTTAAATAGTAGAACTTAAGCTGTAAGCGATAAAAATTTATAAATAAAATATGAACACATATTTTTATATCTCTTTCATAATTTACATTTTTTTATAGCTGTATTTACATAAGCAGTTTCAAAAATTATTATCTAGAAAATTATCTAGATGAATAATTATATCTTTTATCTTGATATATTTAAAACAAATCATCTTCATCTTATCTAAGATGAATTTATATATTTTTATCTCATCTTTATCTGGCTAATTATATTATATATATATATATATATATATATATATATATATATATATTCAATGTTGTGCTTAGATGATTTTAAAATTAGCTATATAGATAAAGATGAGATAAAAATATGTAAATTTATCTTAGATAAGATAAAGATGATTTTACGGTATAATGTGGAATGATAAAAATTCAAACGGTAATAATGAAATTTGTTTTTCTCTGCATCTGTGTTTCAGTGGGTATCTCGGTGCTGATGTTTTTCCTGTTTGGTAAACCGTATAAACGCGGCTTTTTTTGCAACGATGAATCACTCTATCACCCGTATCACGATTCCACGGTTACGAGTGCGATGCTGTACGTCATCGGCCTTTTGCTTCCTATATGCACGGTGAGTCAACCTTTGATTGCGATTGTGATTTATGTTGCTCCGAGGTGTCGCGAGTCATGCGAGAAATCACCTGACGATGATCTACCGTTACAGCAACGAGATCTTATCTCTTTCTAGCATGCATTACTCGTCTTTGTTGTGTGTGTGACGTTTAAAATCTGCGCTGAGATGTAGCACTTGTTTAACTGTAAGTGATTTCAATCCAATGTTTCCTTCTTTAATTACGAAACTTTACATCAATTCTATAAATAAATCACACTCTTACTTTAGAACAGAAAAATTATACATATGATATATAATATTTATATATTAATAGCAATTTTATTATTAATATAATAATGTTTGAGACGTAAGTTATGAAAAAAGTTAATTTGGAGAAATATCTCTCTTATTTCGGAAAAAATGTAGTTGATTGTAAATGATACATATTAAAAAGTGTCTTTTTTTCTCAACGTATACTTTTTTACGAAATATAAATTAAATAAAGAATTGTTGTTACATAATAAAAATTCAACACTTTAATGTATCGGTTTAAAAATGACAGAACATCAAGTTCTCTGGGATATAATTTAGGAAGGAATAAAAGTTAAAAATAACTAACTTTGAAACTCAAACGTGCCGTACATTTTTTTGCACACATTTTTCTGCGACGGCGAGATATATTTCGAGTTTGCGTGTTACAAGTGATCAGTAGCAGATGCGATCATGAAGAATCTGTCGCGTGTCGCTTTTCAAGCTCTTTTTCACCCTTCTGAGAAAAAAAATGATGGAGAAAGTGGCGTCTAAGAATACGGAAGATAGGCGAACGATCGTTCGCAGGAAGCGAGAGGGAAATGCACTCGTCGAGTTTTCGGTGCTCGTGAGAATCGATTTACGGTATCTGGAAGTGGTGCACGTGTAACATCGTCGGCTGAGAGTAGTATTTTTGCCGAGCTTGAAGAGCATAAGATGAAGGGAGAGAAAGATGGAACTATTTCATGCGTGCATCCTCTATTTGCATCCTCGAAAATCGCGTATGCGGAATGAAACGGAGAGATTTGATAATTGAAAGGAACAGAGATTGCATGTTTGTTAATTTTCCACCACTTTGCAGAGATTACCGCGGTATTTCTCATCTCAGGGTGTCTATCGGTTAGGGGAATTTTATAAATCAGGAATTGTCAGGAACTTTTACTGTTTATCTGAATTTTTTCACATTATTCTATTTGTCTCAATAATTTGAAATTTTTTAATAAACTTTTCCTTGACTTTCAGAACGCTAATTTTCTGTGTTAAAAATCGATTCATCTACAGCGTGTTTGTTAATTTATATTTTTATTGTCGTGTTTTTTTATTTCAATGTGTTTGATAGAGACAAAACTAAAAATTATTTAAATAGTTTATGCAGATTGTATAATTGATTTAAATTTTTGTTTTACTACCGAACCTTTTCATTGTTGACAAAAATACCTCAAGGATTTCATGATTTAACATTTAATTGATTTATCATATAGATATATGCAAATTATATATTTGAAAAAAATAATACTAAAAAATCGGAGAAAAAATTAATTTCTGGTTTTGGAAAATCTGAAAAAATAAGGGAATTTTTTGATTGAGCCTGCTGGACCCCTGAATGATCTCACCTCGTAATGTGTATCTTTGCCACGTGATCTGCTTTACGAGGGTGATTTCGGTACGTTTCTATGGGCAATTGGCGGCTATTTATAAGATTCGCATATTTTTTCTTTTTACTCGAATGTTTAGCAATCTGTGCCAGCCAGCTTCGACGAATACATCGAATTCTCACCGCTCTATGAATTCTCTAGGCTAATATTGGACCCTGTACTTCATCATTCCAAAATTAACTTTTACTACGAGACTACATTTAGGTTGTAGAAATGAAAAGTGCGTTTGTGTTAATTTAGTTTTGTTTTATTTTCGGATACGATGATCTCTTTTTCTCATCTTCTTTCGTAAGTTTCTAAAAATTCGATAAGTTGAATCAACATTTAAATTTGTTTACGTTTTACAAAATTTAGAGACAATTTTCATGTGAATTATTTCAACACTTCAACGTTAGCATTTTCCAAATTTAGAATACAAATGTTTCGAGTTTACTTTTCTAGTATTAATAAAGAAAAATATCTATTTTTGGAAAATTTTGAATATCATTAGTAATTCATAATTGAGTAAAGCTTGTGACGAGACGCGTAAAATTCAAATGCAATATTTACACTTCTCAGACGAAGAACTCGAAATGTCCATCGCTATAATCAAATTCACATGGGTATAAAACGTGTCGTTTTTAGTTTTTTCCATTTTTGTCGAGATGCTTCTCATCTCGGTGTCAGCCTCGAGATACTCGTCGTTCTTCAAACGTCAGGTGTCCGCTTGGCTCTTTTGCTCTCATCTCTTGACTTCGCGTCGCATAAAGTTCGAATTAACGCTGTCACCCCGGGGGTGAATAATTTCGAGCATCGTGCATAATTCAAAGCATGTGAAATTGCACGCGTATATGCGTGCGTGAGCAAATGTGCGTGTGTGTGTGAGAAAGAGAAAAGATGAATGAAAGAAAAAGGGAAGAGAGGGAGAGAGAGAGATAGCAAACTTGTGAATTAGTCTCGTCAAAAGATGATTAAGGTACAAAGAGATTCTATTATAATATAATGGGAGAGAAAGGGGACCATAATTCTCTGCCTTTTTTGTCGCAGATGTATTCCCAGAACAATAAACTATGCACGTTAATTTTTATCCAGCAGGTATAGCTTCAGATGGGATGAAGGAACTTGAATAAAAAATGTAAAATTAATTATTCTTTATTGATTTTTTATAGTTTTGTTAGCCAGTAAGCACTGTTCCAAATAAATATTTTAAAATCTTTTTAATTAAATAATTTTCCTAAATATAAAAATAATTAATACGCCTTTTACTCAGTAAATAATAATTAAAGAGTAACAAATGGGCAAAGAGCACGTACACGATCTTGGTGTAAAGTTGTAATAAAGTAATAACAGCAATCAATTGTCAAACGTTTCGGTTATTATTTAACCATCTTCAGTGACAAACTTTAGAAAGCAGTGATATCAGTCAAAAACAACGATCTCTCTCGACATATCAAACAGAACGAAGATTCCGTTTTTTGACATAGTTTACATAAGTATGAAATATATAAATTGTAAGAAATTAATATATGCGAAGTGGGATTGGAAGATGTCATTCCACGTTAATAATTCTTTATTATCTCTTTTACTATATTTTCGATGACGAAACATTTCTGTCGCGTCTTGAACAATCGTTATTCTTTACAATTTGACATGAAAGCAATTCGAATTCGAGACGGTTTTCCTCTCTCTCTCTTAATTAACATGTCTATTTTAATAAAAATGCGCGCTTCATTAGCGCGCGCGTCGTGTTGATTGTCATAAATCAAAAGCAGGTATAATTATCGGAACGAACAATAAAGAGCGGTAAACCAAAAGCGTCTATCCAAGTAATGACTTAGCCACATTACAACATCATCCAAGACTTTCTTTCTCTCTCTTTCTCTCTCGCGAGGTATGCAAGCACGGTCGTGCTTATTTAGCGTCTGAAAAGAGGATAAAGAGGATTCTCTCTCCTTGGATTCCACTTGAATCTCGTCCTTTCTACTTCGTCGAGCGAGCGGGCGGTTTTATTTTATGCCGGAGAGGAAATGGAAAGCCGGATTGCATCGCGTAGGAGAGAATATACTTCGCGCTGTTAATTTAACGCGATAAATTGCGCGAGCGCATACCGATAAATTACCGCGGACAAAGCGAAGATAAATTTCAACCCTCTTCGTCCTGCTCGGGGTTGCGCGTGCGATTATCTTTATATCTTACGAAACTTGTATTGCAATTCCAAAGAGTTCCCTCGGGGCCAACTTTGGCCATTTGTTATTCGCGCGAGAATCATCCTGCGCAAAGAAAAATGACATTTGAGAATTTCTCTCTTTCTTTCTCTTGTCAAATTGATCAAAAATATACGTATGATTTGACATGTTTTGAACACGGTCTTATGTACAGGTCAGAACACTCATTAAAATGAAGTGTATCAAAAATGTAACCAATATGGCGGCCAACTCTCTCAGGCCTGTCATATAATAATATATTTCACTATTTTTCAATAATTTCATAAAAACTATTCTGAATATTTAATATTTATTATCCGACGGTTTATCAACCGTGTTTATTTTTAACATTTTTTCAATTGTGCGCTGGCGCACCCTGAATAAATCGGCCTGAGTTGGCAGCCATATTATAGTTATATTTTGTTACGCTTGACAGCATGTAGACGATATATAGAAGTGTGGTTTTGAATCTCGTGCTTAAATCCATCGCGTTTTAAAATTTGAATATATCATTTGAGATGAATAACTCGGACAGCATGTTGAAGAATCAATATTGAATAGGAACGGAGATTCAACGTGTTTACGTAGCCATTGATCGCGCCTCCGGAGAGTAACCGGCTATTATGCACCGACTGCATAAAGCTATCTATTCGTCGGCGATCAGCTTCTCTGCGTTAAGTAGATAATTCCAGGCCGTGCGATTTAATCCCTCGTGTTCGATTTAGGAAGGGTGTGAGAGAAGAGAAAGAAAAAAAAAAAGAGAAGACAGCCACGGTTCACAAACAAATTACAGCACTCCAAATAATAAGTAGCTTTCCTGAGACCCTCTTTATTTCTCTCTGCATCTGTGTTTATGGGTAAAAATAACCAGTTATCAAAAATGATAACCGACGATTTTTTTTTATCTAAAAATTCAATATTTCTTTTCCATTTTCTCGAATAAGAGGTATATTAAATATTTTTCTCGATTAGTATTTAACAAATTTTTTTTCATATAATTTTATTTCTACGTTTCTCTATTTTTTATTTGATTTCTCTCATGTAGATATTCTCTTGAACTTTATTAAATTGTATTAATTTCTAATAACTTTCATCATCTTGACATTCTATACAATTGGTATAAAACATTGATTTTTCAACTATGATAACAAATGTCAATTATTTAATATTAAAATCAAACAAAGCCTCTGATCAAATTTTTTTTTTACGAACGCGTTTAAATAATATCGTATATATACGGAACGATCGATCATGTCTGTCATTGTCGACCAAGTAATGGATACGGTTTTTTTCGAGGGTAGTTTATTTCCGTCGTCCATTCTTCTCTCGAAAACGTCGAGATTTTATTCATCGGTATCCCTTACACATTTCTCCTTCCATCCGTGACGTTCCTCGTCTCGGTGGTTTTATATACGTTTTACAGGTACAGGCGCATTCCAAGTATGCCTGGCAATCCGAGAAGGGTTCTCCCCGGAGATCTCAAGCGAGTTCTCTCCTCCGTATGAGCTCCGAGGAGAAAGCCGGCTTTATCATCTACGCATACACTCGCAGAGAAAACGGATTGTCCAAGTGTATATATACGTTTCCCTGGGGGGAATTGGGGGTGGAATGTTCAGGTAGGAACAGGTAGAAGGACGATCATGCGCGTTACTCGTCGTATTTCATTCACGCATGCCTCGTGAACCTTGAATATACCTATCGCGCGTATCACCTGGCGGACCTTTATCCGGGATCTGGCCTGGTTAACCCGCTTTTGATCGGGAGTATGACAGGTCGGTAGAATCCGGATAGAAAAAAAGGAGAGATCTTTCCTTTTTTTGGAGAGAGAGCTTGTGCTGCCTTTTTGATTAGCCGGGGGTTTTTTACAAGTCCGTCTTGTAAGGCAACTTCGGAGGTGAAAGATTGTATCAGGTGTATCTCTTGCTACAAGCTGTTCTTAATATATATCAGATATCCAGGCAGCGTTTCTTTCACAGAGTTGGAGTCTTTTTTTTCTTGAAAAAGATTGAGCGACGATTATTAAATGCAATATCAATCTTTTTGTTCTTAATGTTAAAAATTAGGTCTGCGCGAAAGAATAGGATTTTCTCTTAGAATTTACTCTGAAAATCACGATAATTATAGGATAATGAAAAATATTAATATTCACAATAAGATATAAAATATTCGATTAATTTTACTATGTACTTATATTAATATTTTTTATTGTGATAAACGATTACCATGATTTTCAGGGTAAATTTTAAGAGAAAATTCTCTCCGTGTAGAAATGTTGTATTAGAAAATGCTCTAGTATAGCAAGCAACGCATTTACACAGTATAAAATTATGTAATTTGCATTCGGTCATTTGTAAAATCTGAATTACTGATTCGAATCTTAAATTTCAATTTTTCCTTTATTTTAGATGGTCTTAGGAGAGTACCTGCATGCCAGACATTTTTCTGGACATACGGCGAAGGTGCTCTTCGGATACACTATACCCCCATGGCTGTGGAACGCTTACGAAAAGGTTTATTTCGTCAATTTTATCAAAATTGATTAAAAATCTCGAGCTCTTACTTAATCTAAGCATAAATAAAATTTTATGCCGTTATTAAATATTATATAAAATTTATTGAAACTTATATATATATATATCAATTGCTATTCTTTTCAAACGCTTTTAATTGAACAAATATTTAATGTAAAAACGTAGAAGCGGTAAAAAAACGAAGTTTATTAATTTTCTTAGTTTTTAATAATTAAAAATGTATAAAATTTCGCAATCACAGATCGGGGTGTTCGCTTTCGGGGCGGCCTGCACCGCATTAACCACAGACATCGCGAAATACACCATAGGTCGGCTGCGACCGCACTTCATGAAAATCTGTGTACCTGACGTAGACTGCAGCTTACCTGAAAATCAGCACAGATACATCGAGCAATTTAACTGCACCGCGACCGGGATGTCGGCCAGAATGCTAAAGGAAATCAGGTAAGAATTTTTTTCTGTCGACATGCAAGAGATATTTCTGAAAGTCTCTTTCATCAGCTTTAACGAGATAATGTATCTTAATCTGTTGCAATACACGAAGGTGTTATCTGACCTTTGGATTGAAACGATGTATTATAATTCGAGATGTGTTTACGATCACACGAACCTCCTCTGTTATACAATTGTCGTAAAGTTAGAAATATTACATGAAATTATTGATAAATTTGATTTCAATTTTTCTTCGAAAAATTGCAATTAGTGTGTTATTAAATAATATAGTAAATATATTAAATAATATATTAAATAATATAAATATTATATTAAATAATATATTAAATATATATATTGACGATAGTAAATGAATCTATCAAGTATACATAAAAAATAAATATAGATATAATTAATATATAAAATAATTATGATACTCTGATGATTTTTATAAAAAAATAGCCGTGAATGTTGTGTGCATTCTCGGGAGAAAAATAATGTTTTCCATCATGTCGAGATTAGCAAATAGCAAATAGCTCGCTCGTGACGAATCGATACGAGAGAACCAGAAGCAACAGTTATATATATATCGTTAATACGCATATCGCGCTCTTCGCGATTTTATTCTCAGCCTCGATCGACGGATCTTTTGCAGGGCAATAGCCCCGAAACGGTCTCGTGTGTTCGACAACACGACTTGATCGCTGCTTAGATCATCATCATCGCGTGACGGTAACAATTGCGCGGGCAATTACGGACACGATTGAACCAAGTGGAGGAGGCTCTTTCTCGTCTTGTGCGCACACATTTCGTTATTTTTACATCATTAAGAGTCCCGCACGCGTGGCGGGCCACGCGACAAGTTTATGAACGCGAGACGAAACGGTAATTTGCGATAATCAAGAGAAAGAGAGAGAGAACGTCTCTTTTAAATCGATTCGATACGCCGACGCTCGACTTTCATTAAACGCTCATTGGATTATTATCAGCCCGTCTGTCCCGTTTACGGCTTATCAAGTTATTTATACGCGTTCCTTTTAATTATAGCGATGTTCGATTTATTTTCTCTCTCTCGTAAGAGCGAGTGGATAATTCCGGCAAGAGCTAACTTGTTCAGAAATTTGACTCTTCGAAAGGATCAAGAAGTGAGGCAAGTCTCTGATAAAATTCTTCATTAATGCAAACTCGAGTCGTTTGAATGGAAATATATATACAGGGTGTCACAGACTTGTCAGACCGTCTCTTATGGCAGATTCTTGGGATTATTTGGACAAAAATTTTCCTCCGTGAAAATGTCGAGGAATCAATATTTCCCAAGTTGTAAAGAGTTTTTCGCAAACTACATCTTCTGGAGATAAAATATTAACAACATTACATTTTCAGTTAATTTTAGGAATTTAATTTAAAATTTTGGTACAAAGATATATGATAGCAAAAATTAGGAGTTTGCAAAGAATGATGACATCCCTCTCGAAATTTTTGTTGAGGAAAATATGTCTGCAAATAACCTTAGGAATCTTTCATTAATGGTGATCTGCTAAGTCTGGAACACCCTGCATATCATATACATGTAAATTTCTGGATGAAAAAAAATGTTTTCGTTAAATATGAAGTGCTTCATATCAAGATAAAATGATCTTTCGTCTCGAGTTATCAAATAATTGAGAAATAAATCGATCTCGACCGAGAACTTAACATATATAATAAATGAAACTTATCTCGTCAAAAACTTGTGCAGACATCCAAGATATTCTGTCAACGCGCTCTTTAATTCTAGCGCGATTCAAACTTGTCACAGCTCTCTGAATTGATGATTTCGCATGCGGGCTTGTGCGGAAATCTTTTTGCACGCGTCCCGGATACAAAACTTGTACCTACCCCGACAGCCGGTTTTAACGGATATACGGGTGCGCACAAAAAGAGCTACGGTATAACGAATGACAATGAGCAGCTCCCCGATCGAGGGAAGGGAGGAGAAAAAGCTTGGCTGACGATTCGCATGAGCGAAATTCACGCCGAATCGTGCAGTTCATCGTCTCTCTCTCGTTCTCTGCTCCAAAACGGGAAGGCTATTACACGCTCGAATTGTTGTCCGCACCCTGCTTATTGTTGTCAACTACAATGATCGGTTCGATTCAAAGACTCGCATTTTGATCTCTCATCCCGTCTTGGCAACGGTCGGACCTGCCTCTAACCGATCCCTTATAAACACGTTTTTGCAGAGGTATTCTCTTTCTCCGCTAAGCTGCTTATGTTTCTCCGAGTCTTCCTTTTTCGCCCGGGGCGAATTTTTCGAATGTTTTTCTGCCTCGGAAATCGCAACTGTTCGTTTTGCGCGATTATTCAATTATCTATAATTTTCGATGACCTTATAACCAAATGTTTTTCTACGTCTCGGGGCTGGGAACACGATTTCCTAGACGAAGCGCATTTGATTTGCGAGACGTAACTAACTTTAGCACTTTACGGAAACGTCGACGTTATAACGGAAATGAAGGCGGAGCTTCTGAAAAGCGTGTCTCGGCTTACTTCTCCTTTTGCAGTGACATATATGTCTGCACAATTTCATCTTCAATTTATACCGTTAAACGTGAAATATGAGCGTTTCCAAAGACGAGAAGTCTTAGGTAAAGGACACTTCACGGGGTGACAGGATTGCCTGACAATAAGACACGCGTTTCAAGAATTATTTACCTGTCTCGAAAATAACTCCGAGCTCAAATAATGCGAACGTCATCTTTTTAAGTGAAGAAAACAGAAAAGGCGGAAATTTATCGACCTGTCAATTTTATTGCACGACCCTACTCTGAAGCTGAAAGTTTTCTTCATTCTTTTCCGAACCGTGCGGGATATACCGATCTTTTAAAGAATATTGGTTCTCAGAAGACACAGCATGAAAGTCTTTCTAGCTTTTCAAGACAACGTCATTCATTCAATAAGTAGTTGCGTTATCAATCGTTTAAAATAGACGTGTAATACATTCGATAAGTCGCTATCGAATCATCAGTCTCGCTGGACTAACAATAAGACTTTTCTTTCAATTCTTAACTTCTCGGTACACGTGAACCCCCAGGATGTGTGTTCCAATTTATCGCTTACAGTCTTATAGGATCAGTGTTGTGCTTAGATGATTTTAAAATTAGCTATAAATAAAGATGAGATCAAAATATGTAATTTCATTTTAGATAAAATGAAGATGTAAATTATAAAAAGGATAAAAAATATATGTATTCATATTTTTATTTCTAAATTTCTATCGCTTACTGCTGGAGTTCTACTATTTAAGTATTCTTATGTGCTATGATTCTAAATCAAAATTATCTGAAAATTATTCTGCATCATTAAATAAAGATAAAAATAAGATGACGCCAAAGTTTCATCTAGATGATTATCTATATAATTTGATTTAGATAACAGCAAACACTGTTTAGAATGCACTGATATCGAAAACCCGAATCCATATAAGATGGATCGAACGTAAAAGCAGAAGCTGTATCGAGGGGGATCATTTTCGCGAATTTCTTTCTCACTTTCTCTCTTTCTCTCTCTTTGTATTCGGTAGCCTTGCTAAAGTTCCAGAGTCCACGAAACGCCGACGATCCATACGAGTTTACGTCACATGCATTCTTCTTTTTCGTCGTTTTCTTCTTCTCTTCTTCTTTTTTAGCCTCCGAGAAAGACGGAGAGAAAGAAGGAGAAAGAGAGAGAGAAAATCGTCTCGAGCGAACGTTATCATCGTATAAGCATAAGCGAATGAAAAGAAGGGGAAGGAGACGGCCTCTGTGCGTTATAATGAGGCCCCCGGTGCTCTTGCGATATGTGTACATTACGTATACAGGATGTTCCATATAACTAGGAGGCAAACCAGTATATTCTGTACAAAAATAAGCATTATTTTCCTTTGATAAAATTTTCAAAAAAAATGCATCGTTTTAGAGATATTTAATTTTTTTTAATAACATTAATATAGCCCTATATTTCTTGATTCTTGGTCTAAAAATTCTGATAATCTTCCTTTGCTAATTCTATGCTAAATGAAGAAAATTAATTTATTTTTTATTATGGCTCGAATCAAATTTCTTCAAATGTTTGAATATACCTATTAGGCTCCTGGAGGCGAGAAAGCACACACTAAATTTTTTTTTTAACCATTAAGAATTGTAATAGCAAATGTGTCTTGTTTTGTTAAAACATGAGATGACTCAAAAATGATGCATTTCCGTAAATTTGAGCAATGGGGAAAAAAATGTTTATTTTTGATAAGGGATACGGTAGCACATACCAGTGTCTGCACCTTATCTGTCGAGCACTCTATCTCTATGTACACACACGTGCTCGAGCGTATCATCACGCGGGTCATTCGCAGTCTTTATGGCGGGGACAGTTTTATATAGGGAGATTTAAGGAATCTAGATGATAAAGCGGCGACGACGGCACACAGAGAATTCATTCATGTCTCCTCTGCGCGCGGAGTAATAGTCCAAGGAACTGCTCCGAACGTAGACGAGAAAGACGGAGTGAGAGATGGGTGAACGAAAAGGGTGAAGCTGGACCGTCGTGGTCTTCTCATTAACCCGTCATTTATACCAGTGTCACCGATGAGTGAAGAAGAGTCCTTGAGACTTACATAAGAGCCTGCGGGGATACGTGCTTTTGAAAAAGAAAACGCGGTGGCCCCTTTTATCCGTTAATTACCCAATATACCCTGTCGTTACATCCTCGTATTTACGTTAGCGTTGAAAGATATACGACTCTGTCGACCCCAACAAGATCTCAATTTAACGAAATTTGTTTTTCTCGAACGAGAGAGCGGCGATTATATATATTTGTCTGAATTTTCCATTACATTTTTAATTATTGCTGAAATTAAAATTCGGCAAAAGTGAGAGGATTAAATTGACGGGAATTACGACATGACGAAGCTGATTAAAATACAGACATGATAATTCTCAGTATACCGAACATCGAAATAACCGACAGTCCCGCGGTCGAATGGCCGAGCTGCTGCAGGTCCTAATTAACGTAGCGTGCTCTCCGATTTTTTTTTTTTTTTTTTACAAACGCTTCTAACAGAGAGACGTAGAACGGGGAGGCATAAGTATCGAGTCTCCCTTGCGCCCTTCTCGTATTTTTGCTCACGCAATGGATCCTGCGCAGAGAGCCCAGCCTCTCTAAATCTTTTCTTTCTTCTCGTATTCTCTTGATCGCTCGCAGCTCTTTGTCGATCGTAATCGGCACGTTACACACGCCCCGAATTTAATAGCGATAAAATGAATAGGGGATGCGAAGGCGGGAAAAGTGCGAGAAAAGATCTTTTTTTTTTTTTCTCTTTCTCTCTTCTCTATAAGTGGGATTTATTTGACACGGCACGATCGATCGTTTCAGATTATCGTTTCCCTCCGGTCACTCGTCCTTCTCGGCCTACACCATGATCTACCTTGCGGTAAGTAGTCTTTAAGTTACACGAGCATTCGCACCACGTCGATTTGCATACGCGGGGCCGGATCTTAATCATTCGTTCAACAGGCTTCGCAGATACGTATCGTTTCTGTAGACGAGATCGCAGAATCCACACGCCCGTGAAATTCGATTTGCATAATCTTATATACGCGAAAACGCTCTCGAGATACGTTTACAGATATCCGCGATTCGCGTGCACGATAAAATTCAATCGATATATATATGTATACGATAATCGTATCGCGGTGATTACGAAAATAGGCTAATTGTGAGTTACAAGTAATTGGGAAAATTGGATTAACTTTGGGTACTATATTTTATATTTATTATCGATATGTGTGATTACTGCGAATAATTATTATTTATTTTCAATTCTCTCTTCTCTCTATATATTTGTATCGTTCTCTAAAAATATTTATTTTTCAAATTTATTTTTATGCCCTTTTGTCGATAAGAGATATGTAGCTTTTAAAAATTTGAATTTTTCTTCAGCAAAGATTGTATCTAATATATTTCTACTATTTAATCAAATTTTTAAGTTCTAAAGACAATTAAATATATTTTTTGTGTATAAAAGTAATTATATTAGAAGACATGGGACACTTGGATTTTTTTTAGATGTACCTTCAATTAAGGATGAGATGGAAGGGCAGCAAATTGCTTAAGCACTTCCTGCAACTTCTGTGCCTGTTCATGGCCTGGTTTACCGCTATGACACGAATTTCCAATTACAAACATCACTGGAGTGATGTTCTTGTCGGATCTTCTCTTGGCATCATCAACGCTTTAATTGTGGTAAACATTGCATTGTTTAACTCTCATCAGGTTTTATATTACCGATATGAAACAATTTTGAAAGATATGACAGATTTTGACATTTACTTTTTCAAAATTAAAATTCTATAATCGAATAATGAAACGAATTATAAAAAAATGTTGCGACATATAATTAATTATTATTCTATACAAGGTATCCCGTACTCAGTGAATGTACAACTGATGTACAGTTAGATTTCTGACGTCACTTGGAAACGATCTTTTCTCAGCGAAAATGTCGAGAAAGGTCATTTTTATACCTGGTCAAATTATATCTGAAATTAATTGAAAAAATGCGGTTCTGTTATAATATTTTATTTCCGCGAAACTTAATTTGCGAAAAATTCTTTATTTTCGATCGCTTATAACTTGAAAAATATTGGTGCCACAACATTTTTGCTAAAAAAATCGTCTCCAAATGATGTCAAGAATCTACTGTAAATTAGTAATTCTTACTAGGATACTTTGTATAATTATTAAACTAAATAATTATTATTATTATGAAGATACAATCATGCGTAGTTGAAATAATTAGAATGTTAAGATATACACTTTATAATCGAATCATATCTTATTTTTTTTAGATTTTCTTTTTATTTTTTAATCTTTTAAGTTAAAATTTTGATTTATTTACGATTAGTTAAAGAATAAGACTTTATGATCTATAGATATCTCAATTTACTTTTTTTTATCAGTTGTATAGTTTAAGAAATAATTATGTATTTTGATTTTCTTGAAAGAAATATCATGTACATCAAATATGTTTGTTATCGAACATTCTTCATAATTTCACTTGCCCAATTTAAATGTTTGAAGATTGAGATATTGAGACTTGATAATTTTTAATCAAAAGATAAGATATAATTAATCATAATATTGAGAAATGATCGATCAATCGATCACAAATGTGTCAATTCGAGGAAACAAGGCGATCGAAATTTTGGAATGTTTCCGCAGGCGTATTGCGTGGCGGATCTCTTCAAGGAGGAAAGAGAGAGGCACTGTTCTACGGAGAAGCATCGACCTGCCGATTACGAGACGGAAACTGGCGGCGTTCCCGGCATACAGGTGAATAATGGCACTGCTAATCGCAACTGTTGACGTAACGAGCTCGCTCTTCGCTTGCTGACCGCAACAAGGCCGTGATTGTCTTCTAGTTGTCTCTGGGAAGCTAAGAAGGTTTCCGGATTTTTTTCGGCGAACATCAGATCAGATCTCGTCTGGATACGTACATGTCAGCGTAGCCTTCTCCAGCCCTGGACTCTCCTTTAGTGCGCGACGAATTCTAGACTCTTTCAAGAACACTTTTTTTATACTCCAAGTAATAGTTCAATCGCCTAATTGTTTCTTTAGGACAACGTTTCTCGACGAATTTCGACGATCATCCTGTTTCCTTCCTTAACATCGATGTATCGAGCATTTAGAGTCCTCGTTAATTAGCTCTGCTGATGTTGTACGAAGAAAGTGAGGAAGAAAGACATAGAGTGCAATGTATAGCTAAAGCTTGCGAATATTTTTTTTATTTCGTTGAGCTTTGTTTCATTATGCGAACGTGTTATTCAACATGGAACGCGATGTATTTTATGTTGCAGTGAAGAGCGATATAATTTCTCTTCTACTTTATGCCTTCGTCTCTTAGCTTATTGTAGTGCTCAGAGAATAGATGTACGCTTACATTTGTTGCGACTGAGTAACGAAAGCGAATATCTCTCGTTGCGAAAAATCAGTCGGTATATTAGTTAAAACGTAGAAGAAAATTATTTTCGTAATTAATATTTATAGATAATTTTAAATGATGACAATGAAGATGTATTTATTTCTTTACATCACATATATATAACATATATTTATTTTTAATCGACGAATGGTGCTTCAAGTTTGCTAAGTTTAGCGTAATGAATCGATAGACTCTTTAAGAGATTATTTTTTTTATTGTAATGGAAAATTGACGATCGAGAATACTGTTTTGCATTATGTCAACATATATGTTTTATAATTACATTATCTTGCACTCTTAATTATAATTTGTCTATACCGTGTGATATTTGAAAAGTATACACGCGTTATGTACAAGATTCAAATTTAGAAGATGATTTTTTAATAGTTTATTATTTTATATATGTTGGCCTATTCTGCAGAGCAGAAATTTGTAGATAGCAGCAGATAGTAGCAATTAGAATTGCAGATAGTAGATTCCGCAGCCGTTAAAGTGCATTCGGATTATAAAAGAGATTCGGAAAGAGATGATATTAATAAGATTTTCAAATCGATTTCGCTCTTACTCTGTAACTGTGTTATGATTCGATGTCGTAAACTATTCGACAAAGTTAACGACAGCGTGTAACTCGTGTCACTGCGACTTTTTTTTACTTATGACATGTTCTGAAACTATTTGATATATCTTAAGACTTTAATAGTATTTCCTGCGCGAAAATTAGACAAATTAAAATCGATTGAGAAAGTTTTTTTTGTTAAATTGTAAATATATATTTTCATTATCAAAGGGGGATATTTTATAAAAATCTTTTTATTTTATTCTACTTCTTTCTCTTTTTCCACGTTCTTAAATGAAATTGAAGAAAATATTTATTTTAGAATAATAAATGTAGAATTTATATTTGAAATAATAAATAATTTTTTAAAATAAAAATAAGTATAGAATTTATTAATTTATTTTTTAAATAATTTAAAAAAATTTTTGATCGCGTGTTTTTCGTGGTAATTGTGAAAAGGAGAGATAGAAAGGTGAAAAGAAATTTTAAACATTCTTTAATTTTGATAATTATTAATTTGCAACACCATAGAATATGAATTTTCTTCTCAATCTTTTTTAATTTATCTGCTTTCTTTTCGCGGGAAACGTTCACTTAGTTCCAATTTCAATCAATCTATCTCTAGATTACAAGACCATTTTTAAAACATATTTATAGATTAGTAGAAACGCAGGCTTATATTTAGGAATCGTTACTACAAGTCGACTTTCTATACGACTTTTTATGGCATTGACCGGTGCGCCGATATCTCGAATCGTATATACATCATTAATCCTGAAACATATAAAGTGTAGATGATATACATATACGATATATGGTGCTCTAGAATTTTAATTAACAATAAGTGTTCGATGGCGATTTGCCATAGTTTAATCGAAAGTATTTGGTAACCACCGTGTAGAGTCACAATAGAAAAAATCGCATACATTCGCATATATATATTGATGTATATATATAAAGATTTTTATTTATTTTATAAAAAATTATATATACACAAGCACACACATTGTTATTGTATAAATATTAAATATTTCATATATGTTCAATTTTTAATTGTCGTTATCTCTTAATTCGAGCAGAACTTCGAAATTCTCGATAACGAAAGATAAATGGTTCAATTGAATCGATGCGTTGTTATAATACAATTTTACTTATAATGTTTACATTATAGATACTTCTTCCATCCTTTGATTAATTACACAGTTAAGATAATTTACTACGATCTAAATAATTTATAAGCGCTTTTCGAGAAGCCTATAATGTACACGGTGTCTTAAAATATTGTGAATTTTAATATATAGATAGATTCAGTTAATTTTTGTCGGATTGAAATATCGAAGCATTTTTTACATTCAAAAATTTTAATATCAAGTTTAATTATTGAACGAAAAAAAGAGAAATGAAAATTAAATATAAAATAGTTATTATATATAAATTTTTTAAAGAGAAATTAATTTCAAGAGCTTTAAAAGAATTTAGTAAATTAAAATTGAGATTTCTAGGACACCGTCTACATTTGACATATATTTTTGCGATGCAAATCTGTAGCAATAAAACGTCTGTTATGAATTATGGCGATTTGATTGGTATATCAGTTGTGTCTTTCTCTTTCGATATTGTAATTGAATAGTAATGTTCATAGTAAATTACATCTATCTGATCACTTAAAAAAAATGCTATATAATATGAGAAAGGTAGAAATGGGATCATATACTAATTACACGAGACCAAGATTGCTTTACAATTAATCTAACGATTCTTAGCGATTTACTCTTATATATATATATATATACGTCGAATGAGAAATTGTATTAACGATATATACCTGTGTAATAAGGATATTAATTACACGCGGAACATTCGTTTTGTTCTGCGTAACGTCGAGAATCACACGCGAAGCGTCGGCAATAAAATGCTGTACATACATAGGAGTAGGAATAAATTATTGAGTTACATGAATCACATGTATCTCGTGTGCCCTTGTGTCCTTGATTTATATTCACACCACCGAAAATGACAACTGCGATCGCCATGAGATAAATCGCGACATTTCTCAAGTCGAAAAGCGAGCGGCCAGCACTCACGATTAATGTTTCATTTCACTCATTTAATCGATTTAATCTTTACAGCTGTTCGTCGCTGAGATATAGTTTTGTACATGCAATTTCATCATGATTAATACAGGGTGTCCTAGACCTCTATCGAACGGTCTTACACAATCACTTATATTGCAAGCTTAATGAACAAAAATATAGCGTTTATTTGAAATGATGAAATTATTGGAGAAGTAATAAAAAATATATGTTGAAACTGAGATATTATAACGAATTAAATATATAAACGAATAATAATAATAATAATTGTACGTTTATTCGAAAATTTTAACGAAATATAAAAAAAGCAGAGATTAAAAAATTTTTATGATTAATGCGTGCTCGGGATCTCTTTAATATAATCGATTACAGAAACAATTATAGTAAGTATATACAAGCTTTTGATAATTAGAGGCAGTAGTATTTCGCAATGTGTATATGTTTATGCATTAGAAATATTGCTTATTATGTAAAATACTTTTTACATTTTGCTATCGTTTACGATGAATCATTTTTTGCATTTTAATTTGGATTTTATCAGGTATGGCATACCTTCCATGCTTGCAAGACTAGTTCATCTATTCCATTTAATAATTTGAGATTATAATCACTTGAGAATGAATCAAAATTTTAATAATAAAATTGGAAACACATTAAATATACCATATATAAATATATAATTATATATAACAATATAAATTAAATAGGTGCAATAATTTTTATAATCATAATCGTCATATAATATATATATATATATATATATATATATATATATATATATATATGTGTGTGTGTGTATGTGTATATATACATACTAAATAATGTATAATTAATTTTCATATAGAGCATTTTGTGAAGTTTTATAACTATATAACATTAGTTATTGTATTATTATGTTATTTTTTCTTAATTCTGATCTGATGAGATATTTCTTATTAATTACAGGACGAATTATGCCCGTTACAAATGAGAATACAATCATATGGTGGCCTTAGTAATACAAACACGGAGGATTCTACGCAGAAACCGCACAGACGCGATTCTGATTGAAATTTCGCTAAAATAGTTAATACTTGATAGAATGATTTTATATTTACGTTGTAATGTATAAGAGTTGTCTTTGAATATTCTTTACTCCAATTAGAATTGGAATAGAGTTTTGATATAAAATAATTAAACTTTGATTTTAATTTGTAAATATAGATAAATTATTATTATATTATAATTATATTATTAAATTAATATATAAATATAATATATATAATTAGATATAGTTATGCATATATATACTATACCTGCATAAATTTATAATTATATATTTAAAAGTACAAATGTATATATATATGCAATATATAATTAAAGACGATGAGTATTTAGAAAAAAGCAATCAAAGATAGAAGAAATTTATTTTTATGTAATACAATTTTTCTCAAAACTTTCAGCTCAAAATTTATATAAACAAATTTTAAGTTCAATTATAAGTTTATTTATATCGCGCTTGTTTTATATAGTCTTTATATATATACGAAAAAATTAATTTTATTTATTGCGCTCTTTCCTATTCTTTATTTATTTTTTAATATAATTTTTTTATTGCCTTATTATGGATGAGATTTTTCATAAATCAAATCGATATATCGATTGTATAAAATCTCGATAGAAATTTAAAAATTCTCTATAGAGCTGAATCGATAGGTAAATCGATAGGTTTGATTAACATTTTAGATGCGTTCCGCTTGACGCTATTTTCGGTTCAAAACACAAGATTCTTCGCTTTGATTGGTCCATTAAACACTTCGAAGCGAAAGTAGCGTGAAGTGGAGTGCATGAACAAAATAACAAATTTAGGTTATGTTTCACGTGGTGATCACAACATTAGCGAGCTTTGTGCCACGTGATTGACTTTAAAGAATTATTTTTATATATAACAATATTTAATTTTACTTAATAATCATTGACAATGTCGAAAATACGCAAATCCGGCATTCAGAAGGAAGTGGCGAGACAAGGTTTGAATATATTTCATTTATATTTATGAGTTAAAGCAGTACAAAAATATTAGCAACATACATCAGTTTATATACGAAATATATATACATTATTTCTTATATTTAATTTTTTCTTTTTGCTAATTTTGTTTTTTCTTACAGGCATTTTATTTAATAAGAGTAAAGGTCAGCACATTTTGAAAAATCCTTTAGTTATTCAAAGTATGGTGGAAAAAGCTGCGCTTAGGCCAACTGATGTTGTACTGGAAATTGGTCCTGGCACGGGTAATATGACTGTAAAAATGCTAGAAAAAGCAAAGAAAGTAATAGCATGTGAAATCGACCCAAGAATGGTGGCAGAATTACAAAAACGTGTTCAAGGAACTGTTTATCAATCAAAGTTACAGATAATGATTGGAGATGTACTAAAATCAGATTTACCATTCTTTGATTTGTGTGTCGCTAATATCCCATACCAGATATCATCGCCGTTAATATTTAAATTACTTTCTCATAGACCAGTTTTCAGGTAATTATGTACAAAAGTTCTTTTACTAAGTTCTCTAGTGAAAGAATACTTGATTCTCTAACAACTCCAAGTTATGCCAATATAAATTTTTAAGTGACTGTGATAGAAGTATTTTTTTAATAATTTTAAATAAATCTAATAGCTTTTTAATATGCAGACATGATGCAAGACAAAAAATATATGGTTAACTTGTGTTATTTTTTATAGATGCGCTGTGCTTATGTTTCAAAGAGAATTTGCAGAACGTTTGGTAGCTAAACCTGGTGACAAATTGTACTGTCGCTTAAGCATCAACACACAATTGTTGGCTCGAGTGGATATGTTGATGAAAGTTGGAAAGAATAATTTTAGACCTCCACCTAAAGTAGAATCAAATGTAGTGAGAATTGAACCAAGAAATCCACCACCACCAATTAATTTTCAAGAATGGGACAGTTTAACGCGAATTGCATTTGTCAGAAAAAATAAAACACTATCTGCAGCTTTCAAACAAACCACAGTTGTTACTATGTTAGAGAAAAATTATAAAATTCATTGTAGTTTGAATAACAAGGTAAATTTGATTTTAATATAATTGATGCTAGAATGTGTAAATGCTTTTTATATTTGCCTATAGTTATATTTTAACGTATTTACAGAATATCCCAGATGATTTTGATATCAAACAATTGATAAACCATGTACTAAAGAAAATAGAGGCTGAAAATAAACGAGCTAGGACTATGGATATAGATGACTTCATCAGGTATAAATAAACAGAATGAATAACGTTTTGTATATATTTCATATTTATATATGTATGTTGCAGTGGATTTCTAATTATCTAAATTTTTAATCTAATGATTCACATCTCAAGTATCGATTGTTTCCATTTATATCTGTACATGTTAAGCTACACTTTATGGTCATTGTCATAAATCACATTGTTAAGGCTAGGGAACATTGAGATTAATAAAAATGTACTTTTTTCCAGGCTTTTACATGCATTCAATGCAGAAGGTGTGCATTTTACATAAATTATATATTGTTATATATTATATTTGTGTATATAAAGTAAGAATTTTGTAAGAAATATGTAAAATAAAGATATTTTGTTTTAGAACATTTCTTACAATTGCAATTTGTTTTAAAATTATATTATTGTTTTCCATGTAATAGATAAAATATTGATTGCTCGCGTATTATTTTTATATTCTTTTTACGATTTCGTACGTACACACACATTTTATCAATCTTCGTATCGGTAATCATTTCTTTCATGTTGATGTAATTATCTAGAATCTAGATTATATGCTGTAAACAATCCTGTAAGTGTAAAAGTTTTCATAATACGAATTTGCGATCTTTAAACAATACATATTAATTATTAATATTTTTATTTTATTGTACAATTTCACGTTTCGTTTTCTTATTCATTATATTTTAGATATAAAACGTAAGATCTGTTTTTTTTAAGATTGAAATTTTCTCATTCACTTATCTTTTAAAAACAACTAAGTTCTAATAATAAATCGTCTCTAATGATGACACGTTTTATCATTATACAATGTAATGATCATGTAACTATGAAAGATATATACATGTATATTTTCAATATGTATATAAAGAAATCGTTTTCATAGAAAATAATGTGTGAAAAAAGAAGTAAAAACACACCTTGTAGAAAAAGCCATTATTATACATGAGAGAAATATGTGTAATATTTTCAGTTTTAATAATGCATGAGCATGAATACACATTATCTCCATCATATGTATTTTAACATGTAGATTTAATTAAATTAATAATTCACGAAATACACATATTTACAATCTTTGGGACTCGATATAAATCATTTTACATATTCCAATATTATAATAAAATATGCACAAACTGTTCTTCAATTGTCAACATAATGGTATATAAAGAATAACTCGTGTCACGATTTTACATAAGACTGTGACTTGTGCACATAATTCACTTTATATATATACATACATATATATATATATATGTATAATGTTGCATAAAACCACATTTTCATGAAAGATAGCATGCTAATTCAACGCGTCTCTCATATATTGCATTATATGGCAACAAAGTTTGCACCAATATTATAATAGCATGACAGAGTATGTCCGAACTCTAATACTTGTTTTAATATGTACATACGAATAGGACGTTGTTTGTTCTTTTTAATATGGATGGAACTATTTTGTTGTGCCACAAGCAAATGCAAAATATCAAAATATAAACGCTAATTCTAAAAAATATGATGTCAATAAATATCCTTTTGAAACTATCTGGCTTAATATGACGGATTTATGTGTGTATGTAATATGTGTGTATGACACAATCGTAAAGTAAATCCATCTTGAATTAAAATTCATGATTGTA